ATGGGGTTCATCAAAGTAGTCTCTTTTGTATATTTGAAAATAACCATAAAGAAACCCCTGAAAAACAAAAACTCCTAAGTTTTTCTTCTATCTTTTCCTCCAAGCTGCTTTTTCTTCATTAATGGATGCTTTTTGGTAATGTAGGATTGTTTATAAATTAAACAAACATTTATTGAGCCCTGATTATGTGCTAAGAACTGGGGATGTAGCAGTGAGTGAGTACACACACAGGCAGAATTTCTTGCCCTCATGAAATTTTGGTAAAAATTTAATGGGAAATTTTTATGGATTAACTCATTACATAGGTAAAATGTATAGTTTTGTTGGCCTGGTAGGGCAAAAATTCATGTACTTCAAAGTAATTTGGAAGCTAAATTTCAAATTACTATGATAGTAAAATAACAGGTTTCAAATGATTGAGAATAGAGAAGAAACAAGAGGTAAGTAATGGAAATTCATTATACTAATCTCTACTAGAAACACTATCATATTTTGGGGAAAAAAACTTTCATTGTGTGAGAGGTTTTACTTAAATAGATTGAAATATTCTACGTTTCCATATTGGGGGATGGTGCTTTTCAATATTGGTAGGATGGCACTGATGGGTTTCATTTTTAGAAATCAGGAAGATTGTCATTTTACATTATTTTCCTCCTCATCCTCTTTCTGCAATTTTAGGATAATGGTAATGGAAAACGTCAATAAACCTCAGCTCTGGAACATTTTCAATCAAGTTACCATGCACTCCCAAGATGTGCGCCATCATCGCTTCTGTCTCCGATTAATGCTGAAAAACCCAGATAATCATGCACTGTGTGTCTTAAATGGACACAATGCATTTGTATCTGGTAGTTTTAAGCATGCACTTGGTAAGTGTCCTGGCACATGATTTGTCAAGCATAGATAGTGTGGTGCTTAAGAGCCCAGCCTCTAGAGTGGAACATCCTGGGTTTAAATAGCAGCCCCACTGTGGCAAATTATTCTACCTCCCTCTGCCTCAGCTTCTTTACTCTAAAATGGAGATAATAATTGGACCTACCTTTCAGATTATTGTGAAAATTAAATGAGTCAATATAAAGTGCTTAAAACAGTGCCTGGCAGTAAGTGGCGGTAAGTATCAGCAGTAATTAACATTTGTTAATTCTTATTAAGCTTTGGTTGTAAAAAGCTCATGTAGGTCTTGTAATTCATTGTAAAGGTCAACAGTTCTCCCTGCTTAGGCTTATTTTTAAAATAATTTTCATTAATTATGGATGTTTCGCTCCCTGCTTTTAATTTGCTATAGTGCAAAAAGGATTTAAGATATGCTGATACTTCATTCCTTTAGGAGACAAATCTGTATATTGAGATTTATTTACATGGTGCTTATTCTAATTAAACTGAGGAAAAATTCATTAATCATTTTATAATAAGGAATTTCTATAATAAGGAATCAGAAACAAATACAAAAATACCTAACTAAATGTTTAAAATTAGGCATGTATTTCCTGCTGCCTAAAAGCTAGTGTGGCCAAGTTCATTTCTTCTGAATAAACTGTGATTTTTGACTATTTAATACTTTCATGTTTCTTTGTGCATGGCTGGTGTTTTTATAATTGTTCAGCCAGTAACATCAAATGTTTAAACTTTCCTCTTTTTTTCTATGCTTTTGGGAATTAATGTTAAGAAAATATAGAATAAATATTCATTTTCCTATATTAGAAACTTTTACAAAAGGTAAAAACAGAAAAGTCCAAAGGACAGTTTACCATCTTTGCTGCTAAAGAGATTCTGTGGTGCCATTCCTTCCAGAATAGAAGCTGGAAGGAATAGAAGTTTTTAGCATATGCTATATTATTCCTTTATGAGAACAACTTGCTTAAATTTGCCTATCTAATTAAGCTTTTGACATGAGGTAATTGTATATATGAAATACATGGAATTCATAAAACCTCAAATTCTTAGTATTGGATACATTTAGCTTTCTCAGGAAAAACAGAATAGTTGCTCATTTGGGAAAACACTACCCATAACATAAAAAACAAAACAAAGCTTCCCTTTTCTCACCTCCATGATCCATCACATTTGAATTTATAAAACAGATCAATTAATTTTACAAAAGAATTCACCAAAAGACACATTCCTACATTGCTTTCAAAATAGATTTATGATCATAGTTGATAAATTATTTATTTTGGAAGTATTACTCCACATAGAAATGTCTAGCTGTGCCTAGAAAAAAGTTACTTTTAGTTACTCATACTAATGTTCATGGTCAGGACACGTGCATGGGGAATTTCTAATTGTGTTATATGTTATACATTGTTGTAAAATTCAAATTCATGGGCTGATATTTATCATGTACACTTTGTATATGTTAAAATCAGTAACATTTAGCCTTAAAATACATTTGAATAAGTGTTGAAGAAATAAGGAGCATTTTTCTTGTCACACCATCTGACACCACTGCTCTTTTTCCAGGACAGTACGTGCAAGCCTTTCGTACCCACCCCCACGAACCTCTCTATAGCCTCTGTATAGGCCTAACCTTTATTCATATGGCATCTCAGAAGTACGTGTTAAGGAGACATGCTCTTGTTGTACAGGTAATTCATTTGGATTTCTCATTACTTGATTTTGTGTTTCTTAGAAATGAATACATTTAATGCTTTTTAAAAATCCAGTTTCCAAGTAATACGCAATGCTTAGTACACATGTCAGGAGACCCCAACACTTGTCCCTATGCTCAGCACTCACGAGACTCAGCATACAGTTGTACTCATGGCTAAGACTTACTATGCGATGTAAGGACACACCCTCAGCTCATAGGGGAAAAAGACACAGGCAAAAAAACCTGGAGGAATCCACACGCAGGGTTCCTTATAGTCTGGGGACCTGGAATCTCTAGCCATCCTAGGTCCTAAAGATTCATTTAATTTAAATTAGTTTTTAAAAGTATAATAATACATACATATGATAATATATGA